AACGAGAACTGATTCACTTTATTATGCAAGGTCAGCCCATATTTGACCCTGCCTTTTGAAGAAAACCATGCAACAAATATTGGCACTTGGAAAAGCACTGCTCAGCCAATTGTCCAAAGAAGCTTTTAGTGCCCACGTACAAATCCAAATGGTGTGTCACCATACTGCCTAACCCTACAGGTTTCAGTCTACTAGCTCTCAGGCCGCCTTGCTTACCAAATGCAGTCGGGCTTTTCATGTTGCAGGCTGCAAAGTCACAAGCTCGTTCTACTATGCTTCTCATCACGCAACGCCAGCCCATCTTTGACCCCTGGAGGAAACCCTTCAAATGGTATTTGCACTTGCAAGAGCACTGCACCTTCATATGGGCCTGTTTTTTTTTGGTCATTGGACAGCCAATTTTGCAACGAGGCCTTTACTCCTAACCCTACAAGTTTCAGTCCACTAGCTCTCAGGCTGGCTTCCTTGCCAAACACGATCGGACTTGTCATGCAGGCTGCAAAGTCACGCCATGCATGCAACGGCTCGTTTTACCATGCTTCTTTTCATGCCATGTCAGTCCATCTTTGACCCCTGGAGAAAACCCTGCAAACAAAAAATGCACTTGCAAGGGCACGGCACCTTCATAATATGGGCATGCTTCTTTTTGGTCATTGCTCAACCATTTTTCCAAAGAAGCCTCTAGTGCCCACGAACAAATCCAATTGGTGTGTCACCATACTGCCTAACCATACAAGTTTCAGTCTACTAGCTCTCAGGTTGGCTTGCTTACCAAACGCGATCGGGCTTGTGATGTTGCAGGCTGCAAAGTCATGACATGCATGCAACGGCTGACTTCACTTTTAGCCCGAGTTTTGGATAAAACCCTGCAAAAGATACTGGCACGTACAAGACAATTGCCCATTGATATCGGCCTGTTTCTCCTTCATCATGGCTAAAATGCGAATATGTTCATTTAAGAATCCAGGATGATGGATGCAAGCGTAGCCCTCAGGCTGGCCTGCTCACCAAATTTGGGTTGTCACGTTCCAGGTTACGCCACGACATGCAAGTTGCAGGTTGCAGTTCCTGTTTAGCAAGGTTCCTCGGTCCTTGGAAAGTGCCCAGCTCCATGCCCTGATCACAAACACAAGGCCATTCCTTACATCTGTCCACCCGCGAGTCCGCAGAAAACGGAGGTCCGTTGAGTCAAAAGCACCCCCAATGGTCGACCAACATCGCGAAGAGTTGTTTTCTTCGGTACAATGATAGCGCTCTTGTCTTCCCAAAGAAGCCTTCAGTGCCTACGAACACATCCAAATGACGTGTCACCATACTGCCAAACCCTGTAAGTTTCGCTCTCGGGCAGACATGGTCGGCAAATGTGATTGGAGTTGTCATGTTGAAGGCTGCAGAACCACAATGCGCATGCAGTGGTTTGCCTTACTATGGATCTTGTCATGCAAATTCAAACATAAATTCTCCCTAACTTTTGATGAACATGAATGCAAATTGCTATTGCAAAAGGCCAACACCTTCTTATGTGCCTGCCGTTTCTGCCTAATTGTTGCCCGACCAATTTCTCTGGCCTTACCCAAGTGACATCTCAGCCAACGACCAAACCTAGCAAGGCTTGGGCAGGCACTGTCTCCAGGTCTTGGATTGATCAACTTGCATGCTGCAAAACCATGAGGCACTTGACCTGAATGTGTCTCGAACTGCAGTTTGTCCATTCGTGAGCAACTACGTCTCTTCCTGCGTTGCAGCTGGAAGTCTCATTCATCACATGCGATCCTTTGGTTCTGGAAGTTTCTGGCAAGCGATACACATTGACGGCTTGAGTTGCCTCCACTCAAGAGAACATGTCGGAACTGTCACTTATACGATCACCCAACGTTGGAGCAGGATTTTGGTTTGCAAGGCCACACTGGCTGGATCAGCTATAGGAGCAGGCTGCTCGTGACCGTCCGTGACTGTGTCCTGCTTGAAGAGGTCTCCTGCCATTGCTACGAATTGCGAAAAGCAAACGCTGACCCTTCAGTTTTCCGGGAAATAGACATGTACATTATTTAAAGAATAAAACTATATAGCAGTTTTATCTTGTTCATGTGGGGGAAAATGATTGTTTTATGTGTTGCTGAGTCCATTCACCTGTGAACGGTTTGAAGACTTTTGAAGGTCCAATCACAAATTCAGGAAAAACCCGGTTGAAAGTCTCCGCGCGCACCCGTGCTCCGCGAACGAGCAGGGAAACAGGAGCGAAATCAGAGTCTTCATTGAGAAAACCACAAAACCATTGCACTTTTTTGTTTTTTTTGAGTGTCGCATGTGGAACCGTGAATTCGACTGATGCCAACCGGCGCCCCAGGTGGAAACTGCACGTTTGACTTGAAGACGCCATGCCTACAGAGGTTCAAACGCATGGTGTGTTTGTCGTTTTCGGGAGGCCTTTGACCTGTCACTTTGGTGTTTTTCAGGCCAATTTAAACATGTACTACAAAGGGCAATGAGAACAAATGCCAAATGAGAACAGACTTGGTTTCACGAGGCCGTTTTCCGGAGGGTCAGGTGGCGGAGTAAAGAAGTCCAAAAGCTCCAAAACGCACCAACTCTCAGAGATTGATTGCAATAAATCAACGACAAATGTATCCACAACACACTATGCCTGAGGCATGCCTTGCCAGTCACCCGGGCCCAATTATCCTGCCAGTGTATCTGGGCGGCTTCTTCGCTGCATCGCCTCTTACAGCGTGGATCACTCGAAGTAGTTCATGTTCTTCTGAATACCCGGTGTTAGCTAACAGGGTTTTTTGCTTCTCCAGGTATACACTCAATATATAAATATCAGGGTGGGCCCAAAAAGGCCTGAGGGGGATGAACAGGCCAAGAGAACGCTTGATAAGCGATGGGGGGGGCCTCGCTAGATGAGCGATGCTCAAAAAGTCCAAATCAACCCAAAAGGTTAACCCTTGATAGATGAACGTCACAATCCTTCACACTGCGAGGACTTTGGTATCCTTTCTGAGGGCGGAGAGAACTAGTTTCCTACATCTTCGACCCACATTTGCATGCCCCAAATGAACAGAAAACTTCTATTTCACAAGGGTATCTCCCTCAACAGGCTCTGCAAAACCCCAGCGTCACATCCGTCCGCTCCAATGTCCTGGCCCTCAAAAGGCATTGCCCGATGCGCCATGAGGCCAGGCGCGGGAACAACGACGCGCGCGCACTAAGTCTTCAGGTGCATACTTGTGGAAAACAATGGCCAGGCTTAGGTCTTCAGGTTCATAATCACAGAGTTGAGTAGACCCACTGATGCTGATGACGCAGAACCAAAAACTCCCAGACTCTGACAAGCCTCTGACACTTGATTTGGGGCTACAAATCGTAACATTATGTTGGTGACTTCACCCCTCCAAGAAGTCTTATTTACATCATGTTGTGTGCTGAAGTTCAAACTCGCCGAAACACATGCAAACCACATATTGTCGTCATATTCAGCTTCCAAGTGTTCAAAAGCTCACATCAGCTCGACATCAGCTCGACATCTTTGAAGTATGTCTCTCACTCAAGAAGTATGAACGGCTAGAAACTTTCATGTACAGTATCAGTATGTGCTTTCCACTGAGTAAATAAATAAATGTATAAGTATAAACAAATTAATATGTATGTGATATTCGAAAAACAAGCAAGATGGAACCCACGAACCCGAATTCAAACACGGACTCAAAAACAAACACCCAAACAAGCTTTGAACTCTTGTAGGAAACACTTTTGTGGGGCACTCTTGTAGGACACATTCTTTTCGGAAATCTTTGCGGGACACTCTTGCGCGCTCTTGTAGGACACCTTGTATGACACTCACTCTTGTGGGACACTCTTGCAGGACACTCTTGTAGGACATTCTTGTGGGACACGCTTGCCGGACACTCTTGTGGGACAGTCTTGCAAAACAGTCTTGTAGGACACTCTTGTGGGGCACTCTTGTATGTCACTCTTCTGGGACACTCTCGTAGGACACTTTTGTCGGACACTCTTGCGGGGGCACTCTTGCGGAACACTCTTGTAGGACTCTCTTGTGGGACACTCTTGGGCACTCTTGCGGAACACTCTTGTACTTGCAGGACGCCTCTTGTGGGGCTCCCTTGTAGGAAAATTTTGTGGGACACTCTTGTCGGACACTCTGGACTCTCTTGTCGGACACTCTTGTGGGACACTCTTGTGGGGGACTACTAAAGTCTCCAAAAGTCAACCGTCACGTCTTTAGAACAAGCGTTTCGTATGAGACTTCCTCCAAAAGTCAATGTCCAAGTCTCCAAAACGAGCATTTGGTGCGAGATCCTTCCAAAGTCACCCATCATTCCTCCAAAACGAGCATTGCGTACGAAACTTCCTCAAAAACTCACACTTGAAGTCTGCAAAACAAGCGTTTCGCACGAGACTTCCTCCAAAAGTCACGCGTGACGTCTGCAAAACGAGCGTTTCGCCAACGGAGCGCACACATCAAGCAGCCCTGCCAGGCAGTTTCGCGATTCTAGCCCCTCCAAACAACACCCGCTCACACGCCAATCCCAATGTCACAGCGACATTCACCTCCACCACAACTCGCAATTTCACGATTCCCTGCGCTTGCCACAAAATTTACGTGTCCACACGTCTAATAAGCACAAAGCACTGCGCCTTCCACGAAATTGGACCTCCACCCCACCTCGCAACCTCACGATTCCCTGCGCTTGCCATCTCCAATGCAGAAAAGGTGAACAAGAGGAGAGGGACCCACATTGCAAAAGCAACTACTTAAAGCTTGAGGAACCATGAGACAATCCTCAAAGCGAGACTCGGCAGAATGATCTGCTTCTTCTCCCTCAAAACAACATAACCATGTAGCGAATGTAGCAATGCCCTTGTCCTTAGTAGCTTGAGCCCCTAGTAGCGTCCTTGCTCCCAGTAGCGATGCCAGGAGCCCCTAGTAGCGCCTTCTTGTTCAAAAACCTTAAAAACCAAACTGTTCCATCCACCTTTTCCACATCGGCTGCAGCCACATCGAATGCATCCAAAATCCTCTGGCAGCTGTAGCGAGGTTCGGGTTCAAGCGTTGACAGATTTGATGCTTCAAATGAAGCGATGAAGAAGCCAAGTAGCAGGTTCAAAGACATAAGCCGCACAGCTGGCGTTGACTCTCAGCGCTTGCTTCGCACACTGCATGACCCAGCTGTGACGCAGGCGTTGGACTGAAATACGGCTCAAAGCCCATTGAAGGACGGCAGTGTGATCTGCAGCAAACGCTTTCAAATTGGGGATGGGTACCTTGTGCGGCAGGGTCCTCTCTCAGCACACAGGTGCTAAATAGTGTGGTATTTGCAGCAGAAAATGGATGTACTTCCGAGGATCCTGATTTGGGAAAGTTGCAGGAAATTGCTAACATGTCAAATGGCTGGCTTGTTTGCCTTCTTTCCGCAAAGATATGGCAAAATCAAATGTCAAGATTTCAATTCAAGGTTCAAACCGACTGTGCAAGTTCTGGGTCAATCAGCTAGAGTACTAAAATCAAAACACAACTGCATACTTCGGCTTGGGTGTGTTGCAAAGCTGGCATAATTACTTCATCGTACTTCCTCGACGGTTTAGCTGCTTGCGCCAGATGCATCTGTCACGCATTTGCTGGTGTTGTTTTTTGTGATACCACTTGCAATGATAACAGGGTCACTGATCAGTGGATTGATCCTACATGGAATGTGAAGCAACCTCCACAAATCTGGGGTGAAATGGACATCTATACGTCTAAACTCTGAAGCCAATCTACCTACATCCACATCTACCGTCCTTGGCCATGCGCGACCATGGCCGGATTTACGAGGTGAGCCAACACCATCTTCGTCTTGAGAAAGGTAGATATGCATCCCTTTCGTGTGACCGTGAGCAGAAAAAAAGTTGATTGGGTGCATGTCTGCGATAAAGTCTTGTTGCCAAGATTCTTATCCTTCTGATACTTTGTCTCACAAAACCTCATGACACGATGTGCCATGTGGCATGTGGCAAGAAAATGACCGAAGCAGAATCACCGAGAATGCCAAGTGTTCACCATACTGTCATGTTCCGCGTGCAAACGGTCATCGAAACAAAAGTCCAAACGGTCCAAACGGTGAAGTCACAGCGTCGAAGTCGTTTGGACCCCGTACTTCAGCCAACCTCATAGCAATAGGCAATAGATGGCCTCCAACCTAGCTAGTAGAAACAAGTGCATCGCTTCTAGTAACAAGTGCCTTACTAGTAGTAACAAGAAGCTACTAGTAGCAAGACTAATAGCAAAGAATCGGCTCAATTTCCTTTTTACCGCCAGGCTCGCCGCACTTGTCGTTCGCGAGCACCTCCTTCCAGGCGTTGCTTCATGTCCTGATTGGGCATGAAGTCATCACAGAAGGGAATAAAAAAGAAGAAGGTCTTTTGGTCCCTTGTCTTTTGGTCTCTTGATAAGGCCCCTTCAAAGGGTTCTTCATAGAGCAAACCCCTTCCTTTTCTCATCCCTCTTTATCTTTGGCATCTTCATCTGCCAGATGTTGCTGGGTTTATCACAAAAGGTGGGGTTTCGTTCTTCAGCCCCTCCATGCTACTTGACACTTCGATTGTGAGGAAGTGGAGGGGAGTGAGGGGATTTGGAGTAGGCTGGTCTGCAGTTCGATTCCGCAGCTAGAGTGGAGGCCATCGCTAGTAGGTTGTCCTTCTCTTGCCAATTGTTGCTCTTCACGAGTGAAGCGAGTTCCTTTCTTGCATGGTTCCTTTCAAGACTGCAGTTTGTATAGACACCCAGCATGGGTCTGGTCTAGATGCACTCCAGTAGAATGTTGGTTCCAACGGTGGATGGATGCCGCCTGAGTTTGTCCCCTTCACCAACCAGTATACAGAAATAGGTTGGAGGCCATCGCTAGCAGGTTGGAGGCCAGCCTTCATCCTTCAAGAACTCCCAAAATCCGACAGGTTGCTTCGATGAGGAACTCCGAACTATTTGCAAATGGATCGTGGAGGACTATGGAAGACCCCAGCCCAGCTGATGACATGCGAACGACTCTTCAAGACTGGCCCGGAGAAGAAATCGATGCAAGATTGTCCAACAAGAAGCTACTAGTAACAAAGGGCATCGCTACTAGTAGTTACTAGTAGCTTCTTGTTACTGGTAGTAATGCCCTCGGTACTAGTAGCGATGCACTTGTTATTAGCAGCTTCATTCAATATTTGAATCAATGAACCTCCCCTGTCGACGATTCTTAGGACAACTTACACGACATCACCAATCTTCCAATCCGGCAATCTTCCCGTTGAGTTGCAATGAAGTCAACGAGGATGGTCCTCAGTCAGCGTGAAGTCAAACAAACCAAATGAACATGCGACTTGAAGGACAGAAGAGAAAGGAATGCGCGCCATGCGGATGCGGTTAAGAGAAATGAACTCACGCAACGTCGTTGTGATTCTCCCAGCCCCACCCCCCCACCCCGCCCATGATCAAGCGGGAAGCATGTGCATGGATGATGGCACAAAGGAAAAGCAAATGCCAAGTAAATAGCTTCGCACCGTTCATTCATTCTCGCTCTTGGCAATGCGTCGTGATCTTCTACATGCTGGCTGTGGCAACGTCCAATATACGCGTACATCTGACACCACTTGGGATTTGACCAAGAGTTTTGACGGATGCTCACCTTAAGGCAGTGCTGGGTGGGTGCACCATGACAGAAGCGTTGTGGCCATAACAGAAAATCGCGGTCAATCCATGTAAATCCACGCGTGTTGGTCGTTCCAAGGGTTGTTCGCAGGGGAACAAGAGGGTTGTTCGTGGCGCAAACTGGCCTCCACAAGAGACCAACAAGTACGAGGACCTGCCTGATAGACGACAATCAGCTTGGGAACCCCAAAATGGCAAGTGCTTGGTTTGCTGGAAGAGTGATTCTTCCAAATCGCTCTATTCTAGACCCAAACGAAAGGGGGACCTGACACCAACCCAACGGCACCAAGGTTGGCATAGGTTGCCAGAATAGTATTTTAGAGGCCATCGCTATATTCGGTTGAAGGATGGTTGAAGGCCATCGCTAGTAGGTTTCATGTGACATCTTGATGACTCTCCGATGTGCCACATGCATCTCGAGCTTACCTGCTAGCTCATGCTCCTCACCTGTCAGCTGTGGAGGTTGATGTGGATCGTTGTGACGAGGCTGTTGAGACAAAATGGTTGGGAGTGCAAGTTGTGATGGCCTCCAACCTAATAGCGATGGCCTCCAC